AAGGATTTCCTTAGGCCTGATTTCTAGCACCACAAATGCCTCTGCTAAAAAAGGACAGAGAAAATTATTGCAGTTTCTGATTATATAGATCAGTTCCCTAGTTCCAAGGATTGAGTTAGTTGCAACCTCAAGAAACTCAGGCTAATTCAATACTTTCCAGATGCTTCAGGTTTCCTGTCTTTTTTTTTTTTTAAAGAACTTATTTTCTATTCCTTTGCATTTCCCAACTTGTGCAATGTGTAAGCAGTCTAGATGAGATTAATAAAAGATCATAATCAATCAATATAATAACAGAAAGCCCAGAAACCTTTAGAAAAGTTTCTAAAAAATTTGGCTATTTGTGATGTTACAGTAACTCTTAAATTCTTGGAAATATTGGTGGGAAGAAAGATAGAAAAAGTTGAGAACCATTCACTGTATCCAACAGAAGAAGAGATCTCTGCCATACAGTGGGTAACAATGAGGACCCATGCATAATTCACACTTTTCTGGGACTATTGGAAGAATATTCTGTTGATGGATGAGACTAGAAGAGAACTTTTTTGGCTTAAATGAAAAACATAATGTTTGGTGAAAGGTAAACACTGCATTCCAGCATGAGAACCTTCTCCATTTGTGAAATATGGTGGTGGCAGTGTCATGGCTTGGGCCTGCTTTTCTGTCTCTGTACCAGGATGGCATACCATCATTGATGGAAGTATGAATTGTGAATGGTGCCAGCAAATTCTTCAGGAAAATATCAGGATCCATGTCCTTGAACTGAAGGTCAAGAGAAAGTGGTTCATGAAGCAAGACGACACCTCAGAACACACAAGTCATAATACCAAAGAATGGTTAAAGAAGAAGAAAATTAACATCTTGGAATGGCCAATCAAAGCTTGCACCTTAAACCTATAGAAATATTGTGGAAGGACCTGAAGTGGGCAGTTCATGTGAGGAAGTCCACCAACATCCCTGAATTATTAAATGCATTTTTTATTGAAGATAGTTTTAACAAGATAAAAACAATAAAAATATTAGAAAAGAAACAAATAAGGAAGAATAGTGAATAAGTAAGAAAGAAAATAGTAAAAGGAAAGGAAAGGAAAGGAAAGGAAAGGAAAGGAAAGGAAAGGAAAGGAAAGGAAAGGAAAGGAAAGGAAAGGAAAGGAAAGG